AAAAAGTACTCCTGTTTGATTCGTAATAACCTCTAAACAAGTAAAGCTTTTTTAGAGAAATAACTTGCATTAAATACAGGAAGGACTAACTTAGATTTTGGTATATTACAGTTGTATTTCACTTAAAAATTCACGGAGATTTTGATCTTTAAACTCGGGAGCATATTTCTGGATGTGTCTGAAATATGCAAAAAACGGCGTATCAAATATTAATCAAGATTTGCCCGACTGAAACATGCACCATTACCAGTAAATAAATGACACTTGACAAATTGTTTATTATGAAACAAAGTATTATTATATCTACAAAATACAAGCAAGATTTATTCGTCCGAAATTCGCGGGTGTTCCTAGCACGAATACGTTTCCTTATTTCATGAGACCACTGCATCGCGAAGGATCGTCATGGATCGTTCGTAGTTCTGAATTAGGGCATGCTGTCACAATGGAATTGTGAAGCTCTTCTAACTTCTGCAACGTTCTGAAATCTTGTTAAGAACACCAAAACTCTTTTGCCTTTTCTTAATCTTGGCAAGTTCAGAGTAAACTGAGAATTATATGAAACACAATCAAACCATACAACTCCATAAGACATAACAATTAAGCAACTCCCCAGAGACATGCAACATTTTTTGAACAAAACGTAACAAAATAGTAGCGTTGATACGGTGATGTGTATTTGCAAAAAGCAATATTATTTCCTTCAATAAAAAATAATATTCATCCTGCTCTAACCGAGAAATAATCAACTCAGTCTGTTTGAACCCATTAAAAACATAAAAAAATTAGGCTATTTAAGAAAAATTTAAGCGCCTGCCTTCCATGGTCTTTCATGTACTTTTAAGTTTGTAAAGACCTAATATTAAATACTTGCATAATTTCGAACGTTCATATTTCAGGAAACAATGAGCTAAGACTTACATGTAAGATGTCTAAATCTACGCCATATCCCTTACAAACCCTAACGATAATTCGCTGAAATACAAGTTAGCCTAATATGTCATTAAGCAAACAAACGCTGGAGTTAATATTTGATATGCCGATTTTCGCTAATTTTAGACACATCCCAAAATATGCTCCCGATTTTGAACATTAATATCTAAGTGAATTTTTAAGTAAAATACAACTGTGATATATCAAAATCTAAGTTAGTCCTTCCTCTATTTAATGCAAGTTATTTCTCTTTAAAAGCTTTACTTGTTTAGAAGTTATTACGAATCAAACAGGAGTACTTTTTTTTGGGACACCCGGTATATATATACGAGTAGGTTTGTGTATACGAAACGCAAATGCTCAATATCATAAAGATAGAGCAAATGTAGAATTTCGCTTACTTCAATGATTCTTTACTGATGAAACAGACTGTTGCGGAATTTTGAGTTAAGCTAAAATATATTATATATATATATATATATATATATATATATATATATATATATATATATATATATATATATATATATATATATATATATATATATATACACTGCAAAAAATCCACTTTTCAATTTGAGTCAAATTACTCATTTTGCGAGCAAAGTCACTCACAATTTGAGTAATTGGCATGTTTTACTCAGCGGTTGAGTAACTCTACTTTGAAACGTGAGTAAAATTGTCTTTATCGGCAGTAGGTGAGTCATTTGACTCGGCCGAAATGAGTAAATTTACTGAATTTGTGAGTAAAATTACTCATACAGCGAGTAAAATTGCAAATTCATTTTACTCTGACGCTTCCTGAGTAAACGTACTCAAAATTTTGAGTAAAACATCGTCTTTACTCAAAGACTGAGTAAACCAAATTATCAGCACTCAGATATCGAGCAACATTACTCATGGATTGAGTAAGAATATACCAATTTACTCATCGTTTGAGTAAAGTGAATTAGCTTTACTCAAGCTTGAGTAAAAACATAGTAAATATTCGTTGTTAGTAATTCTACTCAGAAACGTGAGTAAAATTGTCTTGATGGGCAATAGGCGAGTCATTTGACTCGACCGGAAGGAGTAAATGTACACCATTTGTGAGTAAAATTGCTCATCCATTGAGTAAAATTGTAAATTCATTTTACTCTGGACGCTTCTTCAGTAAACCTACTCAAAAGTTTGAGTAAAACATCGTCTTTACTCAAAGACTGAGTAAACCAAATTATCATTACTCAGATGTCGAGTGACGTAAACTAACATTACTCATGGAATGAGTAAGAATATACCAATTTACTCATCGTTTGAGTGAAGTAAATTAGCCTTACTCAAGCTTGAGTAAAAATATAGTAAATACTCATTGGATTGAGTAGAGTCAGTTAGCTTTACTCAAGTCTGAGTAAAGAGGTAAGAATTTACTCATCATTTAGCAGAGTATATATACTGTAGACTAACTTTACACAAACTTGAGTAAATTATAACAATTGACTCGTCGTTTATACACAAAGTGAATTAGCTTTACTCGAGCCCGAGTAAAAGCGTAATAATTTTACTCATGATTTGAGTAAAGTTACTGTAATTATATAGCTTTGCACAAACTTGAGTAAAATAAAACAGTTTACTCGTCGCTTGAGTAAAGGCAACAATGTAGCTTTACTCAAACCTGAGTAAAAATATAAAAAATACTAAATTCATGCCATAAATATAAATCCAACAATCAAGCATGAGAAAAATTATACATCCAATTTTTTGACCAATTACAACAGTAATCAGTACAGTAATTAACACTCATCTGAAACAATGAGTGGATAGAGCATCCTATATATTAATACAATGCAACTCATTAACTATATACTGTATATTGGTCCACGTTTATCTAAAAGGTTTGTCTTTATTGATAAAATGTCTATTGTATTTTCCTCAAATCAGTCAAAGTTTAGTATTCGAATTAATACATTGTTCAAATCACTGATGAACTGCCAGGCCAAACTATTGCTATTGCATGGTTGATTTGGAGGGAAATATATGTACTATTTAAAGCACGCGTAGGAGTGTTTTATCACATATAAAACACGACGCGTAGCGGAGTGTTTTATATGTGATAAAACACGACTTCAAGTGCTTTAAATGGCTTAAAAAACGACTCATCTTATACGAGTTCATTGGCGAAGTAATTTTTAAAATAAACTTTGTCTAAACCGAGAAAATCAAAGCTAAAGTTTATGTAAATTAACATGATTTTATATCACATATAAAACCACGACACGCTTATGATTTTTCTTTGTGTTTTGCTCCTGAATTATTAATGAGTTTTTTAAATATATATATATATATATATATACTCTTAAAAATAGGTGTGCTAAACAACACACCTTGGTGTGTTATTTAACACAAAGGTGTGCTAAAATAGCACACAAGGTGTGTTTTCTTGTCACTGAACACACAAAGGTGTGCTACAAAAACACACCAAGGTGTGCTACAAAACACACCAAGGTGTGCTGAGCAGAACACAGTGTACGCAAAAGGTGTGTTCTGTAACACACCTTTAGCTAACACACCTTTCGAATAAAGGTAAGGTGTGCTCAATTAACACACCTTTGAAAGATAACACACCTTTGGAAGATAACACACCTTTTAAAATAGCACACCTTTCTCCAATAACACACCTTTTTCTACTAACACGTCTTTTTTTGTGCCCCAAAATAGCACACCTTTTTTCAATAACGCACCTTAAAATAACACACCTTTGACGTTGTTAAATTAAGCACATCTTTTGGTGAAAGGTGTGCTTTTGTAACACACCTTCAAAAAAGATTTCCTAATTAAGCACGCCTTTTCAACTTACACATTTTTCATAAAGGCACAGAAATATCCCATGCAAGGATCTCTAACTTATTATTCCAATCTACAGGATTTATTCATTCAAATACTGTAGAATTAGGGCGGTATTTGCTATACAAATTCGTATAGTGAAAGAGCTGCAATTTCGTGTAAAATCATCACAAGGTTTAGCTGCTTGATGCGCTTTTTTATTTGTATGTTGCCAAGTCAGGTTGCTGTATATTACCAGTATATCGGGTTTTTATTGTTGACTCGCAAACGCGGCTATCGAATGTAGCCAGAAATTGTCAGCGAGTTTTTCTCGTCAAATTAATCTATATTTTTATTTGCAGCGTATTTAATCTGTAATTTGAACTTGTGGAATGTTCTGTTGCGAAATATAATTTTCGACAAGTGGAAGTTCCAGAATTTCAACTATTTTTCAACCAATTAACATGCTTAGAATATATCACGTGTTGTAGTAATTCGATCTGTTGATAACAAGCGCTAAGTTCGATCTTTTGAGAGCAAATATTCAAAGAGGAAAGGATTTTTATTCAAATTTTCTACTTATAAAGTTCCAAAGACCTAATAAAATACATGGAATTTGTTTTCAAAGGTATGTCTATTGTGTATTTACTCATTTGTATGCGGATAGTTACTTGATATACTGTATAGTTATGTTTTTAAATCGAAGGCTTGTATTTGTATTACCTGTAATACTTTTTTACCGAAGGCATCTAAACGTTCAGTTGTAAATTTTCGATTAATTTCTATTAGCAGAAGTGTATAAATCTAATCTACACTCTACCTATCTGTGTTTTAAGAAAATCGTATAGCTTAGTTGTGTGATATACGTGTATGCTATATTTCCTGTGAAATATTTGCCATTTATAGTTGGCATGCATTGTATACTTACAAATCACATAAATGCAATGTGGTTTGTTTGAAGTCAATCAAAATTACGCGACCAAGGACGAAAATGCTAGAGTTGACATGTCAGTTTTATGTCGTTCGGTCACGAAGTTTAAACTTCGAGTTTTGCGGTTCCCTTGTCGATGTATATGCTTTGTATGCTTTATATCAACAGCCAGTACAATGATTTTCAAGATATTTTACAAACAAAATCATAACATCACCGTTATAGTCTAGCGCGCGTGTTTTATACTGACAGCTAAAATTCCAGCATAAATTGTTATTTTTCAAACTTTAAAAGTTATTTACGGCACATATTTCTGTTGTGATGGTTTGTATTGTGCTTTAGCTTGTATACGTAAGTTATCTCACTCATTTTTGTTCAGTTTTGGTATTACTGTCGTTCCAATTGAAGTGTTCCTCAAATATTGATTCAATACATTACCTCGGGCTGACCAATTCATTTGATCAAGTTCCTCAAAATATTCATACACTTCCTAGTATAATTGTAAACTTCCTGTTGAATAGTTTGAATGCACCAATCACCTTTGTTGTTTGTGCAACTAACCAATCATAAATAGAAAGGAAGTGACCAGAAATGATCAAATACTTGGAATTGGCTCTTTCACAGGAAGTGTATGAATATCTCGAGGAACTTGACGAAATGAATTGGTCAGCCTCATAGATATCTTATATAAACTAGATAGCACATCTCTTTTAGTAAAATTGAAACCAAGAATATCCCAGCGGTTACCCCCATTTGAATAGATGGCGGCCATGTTGGAGCTTCCCACTCGCTAATAAACGCTTAAAAAATAACAATAACTTTCATCATTTAAATAGTTTGAAAATGTATTTATAATAGGATTAACTTCATGTTTAAGTTCCCTGTTTAAGAAATAGGATACATACGAATCTTCTCATTTCATGGGAAGATCCTGAGCCTGCAATCACGGCTTCAATTTTTGAATTGCAGAATAATTAGATGCGCTATCTAGTGTATATAAGATATCTATGGTCAGCCTGAGGTAATGTATTGAATCAATATTTGAGGAACACTTCAATTGGAACGACAGTAAATACGGTTTAAAATGCCTTTTGACAGTTTGTTTACGTTTGCTATTTTTAGCAGTTTTTGTGACATAGAACTGACATTTGAAGTAAGAGTATTTTTCAGGGAGGTCGCGTAATTTTGAAAACGGGTGTAATAGCATATAGATAGCATTGTAATAGCCCATCTCCCAATATTACCCAATGTATGGCATGTGCTTGCTATGGTATTAAACCCTCCTATCGGTCATCCTAAAACATGTGTGAAGAGCTGCTTATATGGTCAAGAAAGCCAGCCCAGGTAGCCCGGCTATAGCTTGCTTTCCCTGGATGAATGTCTGTTTACATGAGCCTCTTTAGATGGACAGGCTCGCCAAATCGAATCAACCAGTCTGAGTTTTATAATAGAAGCACATTTTCCAATACGGTAACCAACATCACACTTTTGCAGACAGTTTCGAAATGTAACTGATAAAAACAATTACCGAGATATTTTAACCCTTTAAGTGGCAATGCGCCCTACTTTATTATTTTACTTTGTCTAAACATCGGACAATTTTACTTGTCAGGAGGAGAATCTGTCCCTCAATGGGTTAATCAGACTATCTGCCCTTAAATTAAAGATGCCCAGATTTTTGCGGCACTTAGGCAACTTGCCCAATCGGGCAAGCAAGATAAAACGTTTACTTGCCCGTCATGAATTTCACTTGTCTCGGGCAATTAGTGGCCAAGTGTTAAGTTACACCTCTGCTTGCTTTGTACACTAGAAAACAACCAAAAATAGCAAATTTATTGTCACTCAATAATTTGCTTCTGTTATATATCAATCTTATATATTTTTTCTTAATAGTGGTTGTATTTAATATGGATTCATTATATCCTGTGATGCTGAATGAAAAGTTATCGAAGCATCCCAGGAGAAGGCAAGTGATCATCTAAACAAGTGGCAATATATATATAATCATTAATGGCATTCTAAGTACTTCATGGTCTATTTGGAAAATGTTATTCTTTTGCTGGAGAGCATGTTTACGGATTACCAAACCATGCAAGGAAAGGACTAGGAGTTGCCGACTGGTGGTATAGTACAGCTTGTTTTGTACTAAAATTTAACTAATGGACTTGCACGACATTAGACATAATATGTATGCTTGATTGAGCACTGACACTACATGCAGTGTATTTTACTTGTAATTCAAGATTGAACAGAATGTTTAACCCTTTAAGTGGCAATGTGCTCTACTTTATTATTTTATTATTTTGTGTCCAATGCAAGGTATGCTGCCACTCAATGGGTTAAAGTCTTTCTGTAGATGGAAATATTGAACAATAACTATGTAATAGCTATTGTGCCGGCAATGAAACCCCTGTGATTCGGATCAGCTCCTTAATTGCAAAGAGTCGGTCAAGCCCCAAGAGTCAATGAAGGTCACCAGGAGTTTATGTATATAATAC